ACTGGGAGCCAGAGAATCTGGATCCTGGATCACTAGGTGTTTCCAATAGCCCTGAAGAGAAAAGCGGTTATCCCAAACCAGGAGTGACATCAGCATCTTTGCCTGCCCTCAAAGCATCACTGCCCCAAGCCCAGGTGGCCTGTGTGCCTGGTGACAAACCAACAGCTGTGGGTTGAGTTCAGAATCCCAGGGGCTCAGAGCAGGGGAGGGCAGGGTTTCCTGCTGTGGCTTCATGGAAAAGAAGAGTTTTGAGCTGTGCTTTGAAGGATCCAGAGAATGGCTTTATCTCCTTTGCTATTGCTAAGAGAGAGCAAAGCAGCGGGGTAAGACAGGGGGGTTTATACAACAAGGTGCAGCGGAATTTTTCTGGAGGGGAGAATGGGAAGTCGTGGAGATATGAAATGAATGTGGGAGAAACATTAGCTAGTGGCTAATGGCATGATTTAAGTTCCAAGGGGCTCGGCACCCCTGTGGAGACCCAGCGTCTACACCGCATGCCTAATCCCTGGGGAATGTCACCGTCATTCAGAGGCCGATAGTGTGACTCCGAGCCCCAGCCAAGTGAAATAGCACTTCTCAGAGGCAGAGGATTCCTTTATCTAGCCCTTCCCCCAGCCACCTCCTCCGTCTTCTTTTATCACTGGGGCTGTCTGTCTGTCTGTCAGGCCAGTTGGTTGTCAGGGAATAAACATCTCAGGCTCTTTGCCCACCAGCTTGGGGATCAGGTGACCATTATGGAAGGCAACACCGGAGGCGTGCACATGCCAGCGTGACGCCAGTCACAGTCAGAGCCTGTGATGTGCTGACCTCACTGAGGGGGCACCCATGCAGCTGGCCTGGACCTGGGGCGGGTAGACGGCTTCCACTCCCTGATGCAGCATCTTTGGTCATCGAGGGCCACCCCATGCAGGAGTCCCCTTTCAGCATAACAACTGGAGTCAGAATAGCTGCACGAGAAACCCAGCCCCATGACCTGTCAGCTTCGTAGCTGTAGGCACGTTACTTTACCTCTCTGAGCCTCAGTGTTCCCATCTGAAAAATGGGAATAGTAGTGGCCACATCATAAGGTTATTGTGAGGATTAGATGTAAAGCACTTAAGGGGTTGGTAAAAGGGTACAAACTTTCAGCTGTAAGATACATAGAACTGGGGATCTAATGTAAAACATGGTGATTCTAGTTCAGAATACTGCATTGTATAAGTGAAATTTGCTAAGAGAGTAGAACTTAAATGTTTTCACTGTGGGGGTAAAAAACATGAATACATTTCCTTCCACCTTCTACAATAGGGCACAGGGGGAGTCTAGCTCACAGGCCCCTACCTGAAGCCCTCTACTTGCCATATTAATTCAGATTAGGCTAAGACAACATCCTCAGATTGCCTTCCTGACACAGGTTTTTCCGTCTGAATCTCTTGGGCAGGAAAGGAGGGAGAATCAAAGGTTCTTTAGGAGTATTTTGTTTCTTAATAAACAGCTTAAGTCAATATTCCAAAAGCAAAACTTTTGGTCCCTTCATCACACACACATACACACACACAAAAATGTGTTAATGAGCTGGGAGGGGTCTTTTCACAATGTATGTGACATCAAATCGCCACCGTGTACACTTTAAATATATTACACTTTTATGTCAGTTATACCTCAATAAAGCTGGGGGAGGGGGGGGCGGGTTTCTTTTGTTTTGTTTTTGTAAGCCACTCAGGCCAGTGTCCCCTGGCATATGGTCGGGGCTCAGCAAGCTGTCATTAGCTATTTTTAATATTATGTTTAATATTACAACTTCTGGACTTCCCACTGGAGAATCAGTGATCAAAATACACAGTCTCCTCTTGAACAAGGGAGGGGTGCTCTGGGTCAGAGTGTCGGTCACCTTCTGCATATAAAAGCCCCAGAGTGAAAGGAGGGTCTAAGGGGGAAGGACTCTGACACCCATAAACCTGTTCAGCCTCCCCCTGGTCCAGCCTCCAGGAGCACCTCCTTTCACACTAAAACCTCTGCTCAGGCTGGTCAACTCTTTCCCTGGAAAAACACATCCTGCTTTCACCCCTCTGTGTCTCCTCATATCGCCCCCTGGTGAGTGTCCCTCTTTCTCCAGGCCCTGCCTGCCTGAGCCCACTTCCATCCCAGGAGCTCACTGCTGGTCAGTGCAACCCACCTGGTGGCTAATCATGTCCTCGGCGGTAAATCACATTTGTTTTTAAATTTATTTCAGAGAGAGAGAGAGAGTGAGAAACATCGATCTGTTGTTCCACTTATTTATGCATTCATTGGTTCACTGTTGTATGTGCCGTGACCAGGGATTGAAGCCACAATCATGGCGTATCAGGACAATGCTCTGACCAACTGAGCCACCCAGCCAGGGCTCACAATGTGTTTTTTAAATTTGACAGTGTGATCTCTTTTTATTGTCTTGTGATTTAATTTTTCATGTGTCATGCCTGTTCTCCTGACTGTATCAGGAACACCTGGGCTGCAGAGGCTAGACATGCCTTTCTTAGTAGCCCTTTCATCATCAAACTCTGAGATCTGGCTATAGTAGAGCGTATATTTATTTATTTGACCCAGCACATGAATGCCCACTATGAAGATTCGGAAATCTGGCGTGGTTTTTAGTTCTGCCATTGGTTGGTTTATAGTATCATAAGAATCAGACAGACCTGAGTGTGAATCCTGACTCTTTTGCTTAACAGCTGTGTGACACTGAATAGTAACCTAAATGCTGTGTGCCTCTGTTTCCTCACCTGTTAAATGATGTTCCTAGGTTGTGAGAGTTGCAATGCTACAAGTATGGCACATAGTAGGTCTGCAGAATTCAGCTGTGGAATGAATAATTAATGTAAGTGCTTAGCACCATGTCTGCCAGTTAGGTTCCCTGTGAAGCAGACTCTGAAACAGAGATAGTGTTTATTAGAAGCTGCTCCCAGGATCAACACGTGGGGAGGAGAAGGGAAGGAAGCAGAACTGAGCAGAAAGAGAAGTTGGGCTATGATAAAGGCTCAATGGAGACCTCAGCCAGCCCCACGGAAATTCTGAAGCTGGGGTGACCCTTCAGAAGTGGTAAAAGTGGCGCTTAGCATTTCCTCATTTACATCCTCCCAGGCTCAAGTCTAATAGAAAAGTGAGCATGCCTCTCCCAATGGTGCTAACAAAAGCCTTATTCCATTCCTCTGGCTCTGACTGGGCCATGTACCTATTCATGAACCAATCTATGGCCGTAAAATGTGATAATCTCATTGGCTGAGCCAGAGTCAGATCCTCACCCCTGGTGCCAGATGTGGCATTAACTCCACCTGAAGCATGCACATTGAAAATTGGACAGTCTGTGATTCCCCTCGTGGAAAATCTAAGGGTGCCAAGAATGAGTGGATGCAGGACAGTAAAACCCTGACAATGTTTATTCTTAACCAAAAGGATGTTAGCACACAAACAGCCTCTGGTGTGGCAGGTGCATGAAAAACACAATAATGTGGAATGCAATATGCCTTTGGGTGTCTGACACTGAGGAGGTATTCAGAAATGTTTGTTGAAAATAATTAAATAAATAAACAGAAAACAAGCATCTATGAGGTGATCCTCAAGCTGGGGTTTTTGTTGTTGTTGTTGTTGTTAATTCTTTGTTGTTGAAAATATTACATATATCCCCTTGTTCCCCCAATGACCTCTCCCAGCCTGCCCCCACTCCCCAGCCCAGGCCCTCACCCCTCCTACTGTCTATGTCCATTGGTTATGCTTATATGCATACAAGTTCTATCAAAAATAGATCCTCAAGCTGAGTCTTAAATCTTAGCCCTAGGGAGGCTTCTGAGCTGTTGGATTGTTCTGTTTCTTGAGCTGGGTGCTGGTTGCATGAATTTATTCACTTTGTAGAAATGTAACAAGCTATACATATAAGATTTGTGTCTCTTCCTGCTTATATTTTATCCTATATAATAAAAGGCTAATATGCAAATTTTCCCCTTGACAGGGAGTTCCACTGGGAGTTCACCAGGAATTCGATCAGGAGGCGGGGCTGGCCCACCAACTGCCCTCGGCCCCTCCCCCCGGCTGGCCTGGCCCAATGGGCCCTGATCGGGGTGGGCCGGCCGGACACTACCCGTACACGAATTCATGCACCAGGCCTCTAGTACTTTAATAAAAAGTTTCCTAAAAAGTAAAAGAAAGAAAAAAGAAATCTCACACGGTCTAAGGCACAGAGGATAAAACTATATTCTTTCTTCATGTGCTAGCCTTCTTTATATACTAGGGAAGTTAGAGCTTTTTCTCTGATACAGGTGGCAAATATTTCCATCTAGTACATTATTTTTATTTTAATGATGTTTGCTATATTTTTTGCCATGCTAATAGAGCAATTCATTAATCTTTTCTTTTGTTGCATATAGACTTTGAGTCAGAAAAGTTCCTCCACACTGAGATTATTTTTTAAATTATCTGTTTTTTTTCTAGTATCCGTATGATTTTATTTTTACACATAGACCTCTGATCCATTTGGAGTTTATTCTGGTGTACAGTGTGAGGCATGGGTCCAAATTTATCTTTCTCCAAATGGCCATCCAGTTGCCCCAACACCACTTATTAAAAGAACCAGCTTTTCCTCAGTGATTTCAGATATTATCTTTATCATATGCTAAATTTCCATATCCACTCAGGTCTATTTCTGGGCTTTCTATTTTATTCTCATAGTCTCTATTCATTTAAATTCAGTTTTAATTATAGATCCTTTATAATGTTATTTATTACTAGAGGCCTGATACATGAAATTCGTGCAAGGGGCTTGGCCCTTGCAGCCACAGTGGCTTGCCTCGGCCCTTGTATTCATCCGGAAGATCGTCCAGAAGGACGTCCGGAAGGTCATTCGGCTGTCTGGTCTAATTAGCATATTATGCTTTTATTATAATAGATTTAACAAGCCTACTCTCTTCTCACAGCTCTTCCTTTGAGATATTTTTAATAACTATTCTTGCATGCTTATTTTCTATGAGTTCTAGACTCAACTCCTCTAGAAAAAAAAATGTGGTATTTTCATTGGGATCATGTTACAATTATATATTAACTTGAGGAGAATTAGATCTTTATGATCTTGAGTTGTCCATCAAAGAACATGGGGTATCTTTTGCTTTGCCCAAGTCTCCTTTCATACCTTTGGGAGCATTTTAGAGTGTCTCTCAGAGAGATTTTGATGATTATTAGTGGTAGCAAATAAAACATTGGGCACTCCAGCAGATCAAAGCAATAATTTTATTACAGAAAATGTGATCCTAGAGGAGAGGACAGAGCCTCACAAGTCATCACACTAAAACCAGCTGCCAGTCTCACAGCCCAGAGGGACAGGAGACCTGGAGGCAGATGAGGTACCCATAGCACCTCTCCTGGGAGTCGACACCACCCTTCTGGTGCCCTAGAGACTTCAAATGCCTTGCTGGGTGACTAAGTTCAGAGCCAAGCTGGCCTCTTACATACTATGTTTTCTTATGACTATGTGACTCCTTTTCTAGATGCCCAGTGCCACAATATTAGGTAACGCCCTAACAGATATTGTTAGAATTTCTATATAGTTCACATATTTGTTAGTTTATCTCTAAATGTTTTATGCTTTTCTGTTTCTATAATAAACAGGGGTTTCTCTTTCATTATCTCCTTTAACTGGCTATTATTTGTATCAATATAAATCTATTTGCATATTTTATATTATTTGTCTATGTAAAATTGTGCATATATATATATATATATATATTCTTGTCATTCTCTCTTAGCATTTTTCACCCATAACTATGATTTTTTTCATTTCATGGCTATCAATGAAAGCATCTCATGAATCTTTAATTATAGGGCTTTTTTGTTGATTTATTTTTAACTTGTTGGCACATTATTTACTTAATAAGGATTGCTATGTCAAAGCAGTCTACCAGAGGTCTTGAATCAGAAGCTTGATGTGTTAGAGAGGAATCTTCAGAAAGCAAGCTTAGGTCTATATGTAAAATCATCTAGTAACAGTGGCACTACATCTGCTCATTCGTTAATTATGACTTCTAAAGAGTTTTGAGACTCTAAAATAGAAGCTACCATATAATTATAGAGTACTATTATATAAGCATGTATAATTAGGGATTACCATTACCCAAAGAAAATGTATGGAATCTTTTCTGAGGGGACATACAAATGGCCAAGAGATGTATGAAAAAAAAATGCTCAAAGTCACTAATCATCAGAGAAATGCACATTAAAACCACAGAGAGATATCACCTCATACCTGTTAGCATGGTTGTTATCAAAATCAACAAGTGCTGGTCAGAATCACAGAATGGGGAAGGGAGGCCATCTCATTATAATCATAGGTTCTGGGAATTAGGATAGAACATTTTGGGGCCACTTTAGAAATGGTCCCTACCACAGCTGCTCATCATGAACTAGGTTATCTTAGACCCACTAAGTCATAAGCTCAGGAAGGTCTATCAGCAATCCATTGCAAGATTGAAGTTGTATATTGGGTTTAGGCATGAGCAAGGCCAGAGTACACAAGTAAGCTGCACTAGCAGATGGCTGAGAGCCCCTGGTCACAAGGGCAGGTCCTTTATGACCAGCTGATGGAGATGGAAAAGACCTCATAGATGGGTCATTTGGTACATGGAGCCAGAATGCACTGCTGCCACATGCTCATTCACGTTGGTGTAGCACTAAGAGTGGTGACAGGAAATCCTCCTGGTGGGAGCGCTTCAAGGGCTACACTTGGTCATCACTTTGTATGGAAACAGAAGCCCAAGATAAGAATATGCATGGACTCATGGGCACAGTGATGTAGCTGTTTGGACAGGGTCCTGGGAAGAGAAAGATTGCAATATCATGTGCAAAGAAGTCTAGGGTAGAGGTATGTGGATGGACCTATGGAACTAAAGCATTATTTATCGCAGCATTATTCACAGTGGCCAAGACATGGAGACAACCAAAAGTGCCCTCTGATAAAGGACTGGATAAAGATGATGTGGTACACATACACAATGGAATACTACTCGGCGGTAAGAAAAGACGAAATACTGCCATTTGTGACAACATGGATGGACCTTGAGAATATTATGCTAAGTGAAATAAGTCAGAATAAGCTAAGAACCAAAAGATTTCATTCATATATGGGAAATAAAACTGAAACTCATGGACTCAGACAACAGTATGGTGGTTACCAGAGGGATGGGAGGGCAGGGGTGGAGGGGGCCTACTATATGGAAGATGGTTTGACTTTGGGTGGTGGGCACACAGTGCAAAAATATTAACGTAGTGTCTACTACAAACAAGTGTTTGGTAAATAGTAGTCATTTTGTTGTTATTATTATTTACAGTAATAGTAAATGAAAGAAAAAACAGAATGAAAATAATTCCTTTAGGGTGATTGTGACTAATAAAACAATAGATTTTAACCATTTCTTTAATATAGCTAAATAATGTTCCTGTATCTATAATTTCAAAAATTGTGTGATTAACTGACCTGGTTTTATTACCGGCTCTCTGGGCCTCATTGATACAGTTGAAAAAAAGGACTATGTCCTGTTGCTTTATAGGGTTTCAGTGAATTAAATGAATTTCCAAATGTGACAGTGTCTTGAGTGTAGTCACCTACCTTTCTCAGTTCTTTCTCTCTTGCCTTCATTTCCAATCTGGCGTCCTTGTGAAGGGTGTACGGCCATGAGGAAGACCCTGGACAAAGAGGGAGGGTCTGTAACTCAAGTGAAAATCCATGTGGGTCTGGTATGACTTCAGGAGGTGGAGCAGCAGAGCTGGGGGAGGAGGGGGGGCGGGGAGCTGGTGAGCAAATCCAAGGAGAGGGACCCCTGGAAAGACTGGGAAGTGGAGACAAGTCTGAGGCTTCAGCTTCCCACCTCCAGTACCTGAGCCTCCAATGCCCCCCTGCCCCCACCCTCCACCCCCCCACACACACCCCTCTGTTATTACTACTGGCTGTTTGGATCTGAGTGTCAGGAGCCTTTGACTTTGTCTCCTACCCTCTCAGCCCCCGTTCCAGGCTGAGAAAGACAAAGGTCTTGCCTAGTCAATAGTCAGTTGTTGCACGTTAGAGAGCCCCAGCAGCTGATGGCACCAGGAAGGTTAGTCCTGCTACTGGATTTGTCACTTTCCGACTCCAGAAATACCACCCATTCCAGCCTCTGTGTGTTCTGCTCGCTCCCTCTGAGAACACACGGGCAGAAATTGGATTAAGGGACCACTCACATTAATGTAAACAGGCACATGTATTTGAGTCCTTTTCTTTTAAAAGCCCAGCAGCCTCCTTTGCACCTGTTGGCGGAATATCAACTTTCTCCGTTTCATTCATGCTGTGTGGGGGACTCAATTATAGTTTCAATTACAAAGTCAACAACATTTGGGAAGCCCCGCCAGGCACTTTCACTTAATCCTCATGAAAACTCTGCAAGGTAGGTGTCATTATGCCCAATTTTTTTGGACGAGAGAACTGGGTCTCAAAGAAGTTCAGAAACCTGGACAAGGTCACACAGCAGAGTGAGGATTCCAGGCGAGGCCTCTGGCCTGTGGAGAGGCTGTTCTTTCTAGCACAGACAGAGTGCTGGGCTTGAAATATTCTCAGTTAGTTCATGCTTTAAGGCACTACTTCCGCTCCAAGTACATAAGAACAACAGATCAAATACTTTAAAAATTAATCTCGGCCTGGCCATCGTGGCTCAGTGGTTGATTGTCAACCTATGAACCAGGAGTTCATGGCTCGATTCCCGGTCAGGGCACATGCCTGGGTTTCGGGCTCTATCCCCAGTGTGGGACATGCAGGAGGCAGCCAATCAATGATTCTCTCTCATCATTGATGTTTCTATCTCTCTTACCCTCTCCCTTCCTCTCTGAAATCACAGGAGAGCGAGCCCGGGGAAGATGGGAAGTTCAGTCTGTGGGTAGGTTCTCACTCCTAAACCAAGAGTCATTACTTTTACTTTGAATTTATTTACAATGTAATATTAAAACAGGTAACATATTCATGTGGTATGAAAATATTTAAAATATACATAATATTTTATTTGGAAATTAAACAACATACTTCTAAATAATCCATTGGCCCAACCTGTATGGCTCAGTGGTTGAGCATCGACCTATGAACCAGGAGGTCACGCTTTGATTCCTGGTCAGGGTACATGCCCAGGTTGCAGGCTTGATCCCCAGTGAGGGGTGTGCAGGAGGCAGCCGATCCATGATTATCTCTCATCATTGATGTTTCTATCTCTCTCTCCCTCTCCCTTCATCTCTAAAACCAATAAAAATATTCGGGGGAAAAAAGAATTAAGTGAGATAGCGAAGGAAAAGCCCTCTGCATTGGTACATGCCTAGCTCAAAGCACAGATCCTCCACACAAGGTATTCCTCCTACCTTTCCACGTGATGTTGTGCACAGGTGTGCGTGTAACAGGTGTGAACATGTGTGTGTATGTGTTTGTGAGTGGGAGGAGGCAGGGCTGGCTGTGAATACAGCACACATTTGGCTCAATTACTCATGGCCACAAAATAAAAAAGTTACTCCAAGCATTTACAGCCCCCAGGATGATTATAAATCCCACAGCCCTGGCCCCAGGCCAGACCACTCCTTGCCCACCCTCCCCCACCTTCCCCGCTGGAGGCCAGAGCCCTGCTGCCTTACTCTCTCCCTGGATGGCCTGGCCCATGGATGCCCAGGTCCTGGGAGGCCACAGAGCATCAGAGGCTCCAGGGTGGTCCTGAAGGGTTCCGAGCACGGGCCAGGCCCCAGAGGTCTGCTGGGCTCTTTGGAGACCCCCCTCTGGACTGTTTGCCTGCTCTGAGGACCTCTCTAGGTAAGACTGATGAGTCCAGAACCAGTGAGTAGAGAGATGCACAGCCTGTCCGAGTGAGAGGTGCAAATCCCAAATCCCCCACACACTGGATCTCACAGAACAGGTGGGTAGAGCAGGTGGGTGCACTTTAGGCCTCAGCTTTTCTGTGAAGGGGCTGGAATTCCCATTTCTGTACACCCTTTCCTGTTGAGCTTTGGGAGGCCTGGCAATTTAAAGGACTCCTGCTGTGAAACTATTTCTAAACCAACCAACCACCTCCTCCCTGCTGGGCTTTGGAAAGCTGTTTCCTGCGACTTTGCTAAAGGTGAGAGGCACACAGACACCTCTAGAAAGTCAGCAAGAAGCCAGGCAGTCCTCTCAGTTTCCCCAGAGGTTCCAGTTAGCTCCACGGGATTGGGGGGCGGGTGGTGATCCTGGGGCAAGATTCCCTGGGCAGCAAGTCTATCCTCCCGCTCATTCCACTGACCAGGAAAGTGGGGCGCTGACAAGGGATGGGACTTTCTTGAAGTCACCCAGATTGAAGCAGGTCCAGGCTGAGGTCAGGAACCCAGGAACACTCTCTTGCCTACCTCTGTGTCCCCAGTATCAGAACTAAGGCCTCGAGTGACGCCTTAACAGAGGCTCAAAGTGATGCTGAGCTGGACTCAAAATCACATCTCTCTCTACTCCCCCAAGATGCCACTGAAAACGTTCTAAACAAAGAAATACTTTGGCCCTGGCTGGGTAGCTCAGATGGTTGGAGCACTGTCCCAAAGTGCCAAGGTTGTGGGTTTGATCCCCACTTGGGGAACGTACGATCGCTCTCTTTCTCTTCCCCTCCCCCGCCCCCCATTCCTCTCTCTCTAAAATCAATGGATAGATTTTTTTGTTTTTAAAAGAAGTACTTTGTAAGATCCTACTTGAGGGTGACTGTCCTAGATGAAATATGACTGTAAAATCTGGGCTCTTCCTCCCACTGAGAGGAGGGGCCTCATTCCCTCACTTTGGAACTGAGCTGGGCTTTGTGACTTGCTTGACAAATTGAATGATGTGGAACTGATGTCTGGGACTCTCACAGCTAGTTTCCCCTAACATCATACCAGCTATGGGAGGGAAGCCTTGGACGCTCCAGGTCAGCCTCTCTGCTGGAACCCCACTTAGGTGACCACCATGGATGCCGCGTGGAGCAAAGAATCACCTCACTGAGCCCTGCACAAATTCTTGCCCCACAAAATCATGAGCTATAATACACTGGTAGTTGCCTTAATCTACTGAGCATCGGTGCTGTTACACAGTCATAGATAACGGCAAGAACTGTTCATCTTGAACATACCAGAGAACAGAGCAGCTGGCTGCTGAGTCCTTTCTAACTCAAGTACACACACCCCTGAATTTTATACACTTTGTATGCATGGCTTTCTTTCAAGCTTCTCTTTTTTTTTTAATGTTTTTGTTTGTTCGTATTTTAAATATATTTTTATTCATTTCAGAGAAGGGAGAGAAAGAAACATCAATGTTGAGAATCATTGATCGGCTGCCTCCTGCATGCCCCCTACTGGGGGATGAGCCTGTAACCTGGGCATGTGCCCTGAACAGAATCAAACCATAATCTCCTGGTTCATAGGTCAACTGATGCTCAACCACTGAGCCACACCAGCCGGGCTCAAGCTTCTCTTAAATCTATTCCTGACCCCAAATATTACAAATGTGACTTGGATGCCAACTGGCACAAAATATTAAACCTAATTCTTATTGAGCAACCATTGTATGCAAACCACTCTGTTCTCATTTAATTCTAGAACCACCTTTTAAGATACTTTCACCCTAGCTGGTTTGGCTCAGTGGATAGAGCATCACCTGTGGACTGAAGGGTCCCAGGTTCGATTCTAGTCAAGGGCACATGCCTGGGTTTGTGGGCTCGATCCCCAGGGGTGGGCGTGTAGGAGGCAGCTGATCAATGATTCTCTCTCATCATTGATGTTCCTATCTCTCCCTCCCTCTCCCTTCCTCTCTGAAATCAATTAAAAATATATTTAATAATAAAAAAGATAGTTTCATGTGGTATCTCCATTTAACAGAAGAAGAAATGGAAATAGAGGTTAACAAACTTGCCCAAGACCACACAGCTAGCAAAAGTCAGAGCTGGGATTCCAAACCCCTGCTTTTCTCTCCATGTACCACCTCCCTCAATGGGTGGGGCTTCCCTGGGGCCCTCCCCACATATGAGACACCACACAGGACAGGCTATGTTGGTATCACTAGGGTCTCTGGGGTAGATGCTGGGGTGAGGGTCCAGTGCCCCAGGAGAGCTGCCTCTAGGATGATGGATGAGCACAAACCCCAGGCCCAGCCTTTCCCCACCTGCCTGAGCCCCCTACTCAGGCCCCTGCCACAGCTGTCACCATCACAGCCTCTGATCCAATTACAGACCCCAGAGCCCCCGACAGCCTCCTCCTCCTCCTCCTTCCAGGGCACAGGAAGGCAGAGACCCATCCTGCCTGGGAACAATGCTGAAGCTGGAGGACGAATCTATCAAAGGCACTGCCAGCTGCCACCATCCCTGTGGCCCCCACCCTCTGAGCTCATTCCCTGGGGTCTCAGGCGGCTGGTGCTGAAGAGGGACAGGAATGAGGGCCCTGCGGTGGGGATGTATGGAATCCTGCAGTTGGCTTTGTTTAGACATGGAATACCCCAGGCCTGGGCTCTGCACCTGCTGCTGGAGGAAGTCATCTCCTCCTCCACCCAGAGCACGTTCACGTGCACACGCACACATGTACACACATACGTACACACACACACACAACGTACACACACACACACACACAAATACACACCAGAGAACGTCACCTCCTCCTCCATCCAGAGCACGTTCATGTGCACAAGCACACATGCATATGCATACAAACATGCACACACACCAGTGGAAGTCACCTCTACCTCCTACCCAGTGGCTTCCCAACACACTATTGGCTCAAGATACCCAGGCCTGGATTAACTCTGGGCTTCACCGTTTATTCACTTGGTGACTCTGGATCTGCTCCTAATCTAACTTTGTTTCCTCATCTGTAAAACAGGTTCATCACAGCACCTGACTTATGGGTTGTTGTTTTTTTAAAATTTTTTAAAAAATATATTTTATTGATTTTTTACAGAGAGGAAGGGAGAGGGATAGAGAGTTAGAAACATCGATGAGAGAGAAACATCGATCAGCTGCCTCCTGCACACTCCCTACTGGGTATGTGCCCGCAACCAAGGTACATGCCCTTGACCGGAATCGAACCCAGGACCCTTGAGTCCGCAGGCCAACGCTCTATCCACTGAGCCAAACTGGTTAGGGCTACTTAATGGGTTTTTATATCCCAGGTCCTCACCAAATGCTTGTTGAATAAACCCAGAATTGCCCACCCCTCAATCTATCCATTCATCCTCTATGGTGCAGGTCCCTGACCCCCACTGTCCTCTATACCTCCCTTCCTTCCCTCTAACCCCACCCCTACCCAGCTGGGCTTGCCTTCAGTTGCTCTTTATTAGGCCTTCCCCATCTATCCCTGAATGCTACTTTCCCCCATGATTCTGAGGGTTGGAGTGGGTGGTCAGACAAGCTTTGGGTGTTTAGAAAATGAATCCAATACTTGGAAATAAGGCAACAAGCCTACTGGATGCTCTTTCAAAGCTACAATAGAGCACTTTCCAACCGATGCCTATGGGTCACCTGAGACCCTAAAGCAGCGGTTCTCAACCTGTGGGTCGCGACCCCTTTGGGGGTCGAACGACCCTTTCACAGGGGTCGCCTAAGACCATCGGAAAACACATATATAATTACATATTGTTTTTGTAATTAATCACTATGCTTTAATTATGTTCAATTTGTAACAATGAAAATACATCCTGCATATCAGATATTGACATTATGATTCATAACAGTAGCAAAATTACAGTTATGAAGTAGCAACGAGAATAATTTTATGGTTGGGGGTCACCACAACATGAGGAACTGTATTAAAGGGTCACGGCATTAGGAAGGTTGAGAACCACTGCCCTAAAGAAAGGTCACTTTGTTTGATGCACTCTTTTTTACGGATTAGGGCCCAGATTCTGGAAAATTAGATGTTAACTTCAAAGAAATGGAGGATTGGGAAGTTGGACATGATTCTTAGAGGCTAGAAAGATAACCCAAAGGTTATGGTTTTATGGACCTATAGCATGTTTGTCATCCTGCTAGCTCCCTCGTTAATGAGATAAACAATCTCTGGGACATGCTCACTATATTGTGGATGAGAATCGTATTTTCAACTTTTCAGAAAGTATGCTTCAACCTGATCTCACGTCCCGGAAGGAGGCCAGAGCTGGGTGGAAGGACCCCTGAGGGTGAGAATCGGCAGGAAGAACACTGAAGCCACTGCTGATGATGACAGGATGCAGAGGGAGGCTGAGCTTAAGGTGGGGATGTGCACCTGTGTCCTGAGAAGATGGTGATCTTAGGATGCTGATGGTAATGCTGTGGGGGGTTGGCAGGTGGACAGAACCACAGAGGACTGATTGCCGAACAACAGTGGTGAAACCAAGTGGCAACAGAGAGCCAGGAGCTCAGTGGTCCCTCTCCTAGACCTGAGAGGAAGCAGATGAGAAAGCGTGGTCTCCATCAAAACGGTCTCAGGAATGAGAGATTTCACAGGAAATCCTTAAGGGATTAAGGGAAGGTTTCAGGTGTTAAGACTGAGGCTTAGAGATATGAGAGGTTTGGGGGAGGTGGAGCAAGTATGGAAGACGGCGAGCTGCAAGCACCTGCTCCTTGGGTCCAGGAATGAGGGCAGCAGGAGGCAGGAAGCCTCTGGAAGGGAAGCTGAGGTGTGAGGCTGTGACAGGTGAGGCAGGCCCAGGCTTCCTGCCAGAACAGGGTCTTGTCCAGAATCAGAGTCAGGGTTGCCTCAGGTCTGTGTTTTCCTGGTGGCCGGACTCACTGGCTAGGCTGGAGGAGACGGCCACTGAGTTGGTCACACCCATTTAGACTCTTGGCTTCCAACAAAAACCCTGTAGAAACCACTGATGTACAGGGGTACAGGGAGCAGCCGCCAGGCCCCCGAGCTGCACACACTGTAACATGAGGGCTACGATCACCCCCTGAACCCCACTGTCAGGACTGCGGGCAGGCAGGGCCCTCAGCAGGAGCCTCCAGGTTCCTTCTATTAAGGAGGCCTGTGGGTCAAGCTGGGAGGTTTAAAACGACTCTCCCCTCAAGATAGGAATTCGCTGAAAGCCCCCACAAAAGAAAACAAATACAAAAACGGGGGCAGTGGCGCACTCCCGTGGCTGGCCTGAATGGAGGCACTCTGGTAGGTCATTTCTGGGAACCCAGCCCTCCAGCTCCAAGCCCTTTCTGTCTAAGTTCTGCCAGTCACGCCCCCCAGGCCCCTGAGCCCCGCGCCCAGCTGCTGCCCACTGTTTACCTTAGTTCAGATGCAAGTTTTACTTTCTCTTCGAATAAAAGCAAAATCCTCAAGTCTGGTGCTTTCTTTTGTACAGATGCCGCAGAGTCATCTTCTTCCGAAGGTCAAAGCGTTCAGCAGGCCTGACGGCTTGTGAGGCCAGTAGATTTTCCTGGTTGATAGGTATTACACGTGGCCCACCTGGGCCCTGCCCTGCCCTGCCCTGATTTCCAATCTTCAGGGGGAAAGGCTGGAGAAATTGCATCTTCAACAACCACTCCAGGTGAATTCGATGATGAGGCAAGGCCTGGGTAACGTAGGTGTAGATTAGAACCCCTCTGGTTTGCTAACGAGATAGTATGGGGTCCTACATCCATTTCTAGATAAAGTTCTGGCTAAATTATTCCAGATTCATCCCTAGGGGCTCCCACAGAGTGCAGGTTCTCTCTAGCACCCACTCCCCCTTCTCTGTGGGGAGAACCAAGTCAAAGACAACCAGGGCCAAGGCACCAAGAGTCTGTGGGAGGAGTCACTAAGGCAAGAGGCAGCCTGGGGGGCCCAGGGGATGGCCCACTGGCGACGGATATTTTTCCATTGACTTTTTTTTTTTTTTTAGAGAGAGTGGGAGGGGGAAGAGACACATGGATATGAGAGAAACGCCGTATGTGCCCCTAACCAGAACTGAACCTGCAATCCTTCAGTCCATGGGCTGAGGCTGTAACCACTGAGCAAACTGGCAAGGGCTCCACCGCTTTCTAATAGAAAGCTTTAGGCAAGTTACTTCACCCTCATGGAAGCTCTATTCTGCAGACTGGGGTTAACACCACCCACTGCCAACTTGTTGTCCTGAAGTGAAATGATAAAAGGCCTGTTTGGTACTTATTAGGTAAGTAATAACCTGTTTAAATCAGGCACAGGCAGAGAAAGCTGCTGCTCTGAAGAGAAACTAGCAGTGCCTTTGCAGGAAAGGGCTGCCATTTTATTAACAAGATTCCATTCAACAGCTGCTGCACCGCTTTCTACATCACAGTTCAACCTGTTGCAAGTACTAGGTGCCTTGGCTGAAAGCAGCCAGTTTATGACTGAGCTGCAAGCAGTTAACACGTAGCTCATAAACTCCTGCAACAGAGAAACCTCAGGAATATCACACATCGAATGCTGCTGGAACTCTAATAAAGGAGGAATTAGAGAGGAAACTGCTTTGAAAACTAGACTGAAAAAAATGGAGGAAGGGCTGGCATGTGTCAAGGGCCCCCTCTAGCGGTGCTGGAAATAATTGAGATATAGGATATTGGGAGAAAAAATAGCGGCACAGACAAAGCTGAAGAAAGCATCAACCTTACTAACCTTTGCAGTCATCATTTCTAATTCAGAGATGCTATGATAGATTCCTGTTTGAAAACCTCTTCTAGCAAAAGCGGGTGCCTTAGAGGTGACACAATTCTTTACTGGGTGACACGTTAACTGCCTCTCAGACCTGAGTCCCAAATGATTTGGCTTTACACCATGTCCTTCAAGTTCAATTTTCTGTTGTGGTTTCTCTCTCTCTCTCTCCCTCTCTCCCTCTCTCTCTCTCTCTCTCTCTCTCTCTCTCTCTCTCTCTCTCTCTCTCCATGTTTCCAGTCTTTGTAAACCATTTTTTTTAATCCTCACCTAAGGATATGCTTAGAGAGAGGGGAACAAGGAGAGAAACACTGATGTAAGAGAACATCAGTTGGTTGCCTCCTGTTCACAGCCCAATGGAGGATCAAACCCGAAACTTAGTTATGTGCCCTGACTAGAAATCAAACCCACAACCTTTCAGAATACGGGATGACGCTCCCATTAACTGAGCCACACCAGCCAGGACAATAATCATTATTATTAATGGCTGAATAATTGTAGACTTAACTGATGAGGCTAGAGCAGGACTTGGTATCACTGTACACTTGAATGTTTTATATAATCAGCACGCCAGGCATTGGTCTGACCCACACAGAATCCATAAAAAATGACATTCAAATGCTAATGTTCTCTTTGCAGTGGACTTCTACCCACTGATGCAATGACTTGAGAGAGTAAATATATCCATGCTCTCCCTGCAAACCTAATCTCTGTGCTGCCTCATCTTCCTGCAGCTACTGGCTGCCACAAGGGCTGTTACACCCAGGAGACTCTCTGTCTCTAGGAAGGGGAGACTGAGTGCCACACGGTGGCAGATTTATGGAGCAACTTGGCATCTTCCAGGCGGAAGACTGGCAGCCAGTCCCCCTAGGACATCGAGACAAGTGACCTGCACCAAAATAGGTGAGGTCTGAAGAAAAAGGGGGAGGGTGGGGAGAGTGAAGAGGTAAAGAAAACGAACGATGGTGACTCACCCATAAACTGTTACTCTAACATAGAGGATCAACCAACACGGTACAAACACAACACTACATCTCCCCCATTTTCATAGTTCACCAGGGAGAACAAAGACCTAACAAGGTCAAAGAGTCCCCTCTACTCAACGCAGGAAAGCCTGGGCTTCATTCTGGCTCTGCCAGTTATTAGCCCTTTGAGTGCCAACCAATATCCTAGGAACTATGCTAAAATTGCCAAGGCATTTTTGCTGATTTTACAGCAGTTTAGGAAAAAAATTATGAATCGCAAGTAAATGAAGTTACATATTCAAAAACTTAAGGAAACCTTTACTACATTGACATATTTAGCAATATCGTCATCACTAATAAAAGCAGACTTAGGACTGGATGCCATTTTGAAGCTTTGATAGCGCTCCCGGCACTTTTGGCGAAGGACAAGAGGAGCGTGATCGCGCTCCCAGGCACTCTAGGGGTTAAGCTGTGCGTGCTCACTTTGTCATTACCTGGGCAAATTTCCTTAACTATAAAATAAAAGTCTTAAACTAAAAAAAAAAATCCTGTATCTCTGGATCCTATGTGTAAGGGCTTGATACTTTTAGCTTAGAGCATGTTGACCAAAAAAGCTTTATTTAAGAGGAAATGCCTTACAAAATCCAAGTTCCTGCCAAACTAAGATTCCTTCTAGAGAGGTATCTGAATCAACCCACTTTATCAAGAATTACTTAATGAGGCCAAAAGAAAGGCCACACCACACCTCTAAGCAGTAGACGACTGAAATAGATTTTGTCATTTTTCACAGAGGAAAAGAGCTACCTGCTTCTCCCAAAAGTATGAAACCTACGGAACAAGGGTATCTCTATTGCTTCATCTTCACAGAAAAGCAGGGGGTAATTTCTACCTAATGACATATAATTTCAAAAGAAATCCTCAAATAAAGAAGGAAAGACATTCCTAGTTTCTTGGTAGTAGGTGAACACGTTGCTGTCACAGTTTTAACTGCATTAGTGTGCCTCTGTTTTCCATTTGCTCTTCCCCTATTGAATATGCAAATTCAAATTACTTATTCATGTACTACGATAAGAGGATATATGCCTGAGTAAAGGTTAAGAAAGATAAAGAATGTCATTACTGCTATAAAAATTCCTTGACAGTGAACACTTTCTGCTCCTCTCTGGCAAGCGTCCCGGCAGCATGATGCCACTCCCAGGGTAAGGTGACCATTTGCTGGGTGACAGAAATCTTAATGTTTGCTTTTCCTCAGCACTGGATTCTCTCTTTGTGGGAACTGAACAAAAGTACTAGTCCTCTACCCTGAGATTTGTTATGAGAGAAACTCCATTTAAGAATGAACTAAATGTTTTTGAAGTCAGGGTTGCCATTGCTTAAATACTTAAAAAGAAAAGAAAAGAAAAGAAATTCTCCAAAATCAGACTTATACCTTTTCTATACTTCTATTATATGACTATTATACCACTAGTCATGTTTCTCTAAATTGCATCGTTTTCTTTAAAATTAGTACTTTTTTACTTATTTTGACAAAATGCTTAACCCATTTTTGCTAATCATCCCATATTTTATTTATTTTTTAAATATATTTTTATTGATTTCAGAGAGGAAGGGAGAGGGAGATAGAAACATCAATGATACAGAAAATCAATGACTGGCTGCCTCCTGCACACCCCACACTGGGGATTGAGCCCGCAAGCCGGGCATGTGCCCTGACAGGGAATAGAACTGTGACCTCCTGGTTCATAGGTTGACACTCAACCACAGAGCCACGCCAACTAGGCCATATTTTATTTTTTTAAAAGTTGCAAAAAGCTTTATAAATGTTACTCTTAAAACCACATTCCCAAGTTCTATTAAATAGATTGCCATCTTAAATTAAAAATAATTTTTAAAGGACTGTTATGAGTTTAAAGCAGGGGTTCTGTCTGGTTTGGCTTAGTGGATAGAGTGTTGGCCTGCAGACCAAAGAGTACCAGGTTCGGTTCCGGTCAAGGGCCCGTACCTTGGCTGCAGGCTCCTCCCCAGCCTGGGCTCTAGTAGGGGCTTGTGCAGGAGGCAATCATCAATGTGTTTCTCTCATATCGATGTTTCTTTATGTCTTTCCCTCTCTCTAAAAATCAATGGAAAAATATCCTAGGGTAAGGATTAACAAAAAAAATCAATAATAATAAATATAGCAGGGGTTCTAACCCTCACTGAGAGTCAGAATCACCTGGGGGAATTCAGAATTGAAGTGACCAGGACACCATCCCGTTAGGATTTTGATCCAACTGGTATAGTGACAGACTCCCACAATGTTACATTTTTAAAAGCTTCCTCCATGAATTTAAACATGCAGCTTAGATTAGGAACCACTGATATAATTCAACAGAATATGAAACTATTTTTAAAATCTTCTTTTAGGTGAAAACAGACCTTTTCTTACGCAAAATAAAACATAGATATTTAAGAAAAATTTGTTTCTAATTGTACAACTATAAATGAAGCCACATAAAACACAAAATTTTAAAAAGCAAAATTAAGTCATAAAACCAATTATTTAATTGAAGCTATAAAAAAAGAGGCAATATAATTGATAAAATAATTAGGAAAAGATATTTAGCATGTTTCAAAGATTTAAAACAGTAACAGGACACTTTACAAAAAGTTGTGTGGGAAATAAAATTCTTAAACTATACATAGAAATGTAACATTACAGAGTATCTTATAAAATACAATGACAGAAATATAAAAGGACAGTGTGTGCTCTAAACCTGAAAACTATTAATGACGACCAGATATTTAAGTTTAAATTTACAGTTCCTGGGAATGAGAATCATAATACTATACATATCTTCCAAACCAGTGGGCAACAGTTTCCAATTAACCATGAGTGGTATCATCTTCTACAAAGTCTTTGGCCATCTCTGCTGTGATCACATCGATATGACTAACCTGAAGAATAAATGCCAAAAATAAAATCTGTTAAATCTTAAAGAAATATATCAGTGTTCCCACTGTACAGGGTAATAGTTAAAATATACAGCCTATTACCTGTAAGTTTTACATATCAAGTCAAATGATTGATTCTAAAACAAGGACTGATAAAACCTTTATTTATAATGGTGTTTGTTCAATGTGTGAGTTTAAAAATATTCTGCCTTTTAATGCTCTGAAGATATGGACAAGAACTTATGCCTAAGTATTCTTTTGCTGTTTCAGAGAACATTAAGGCTTATTAAAACACCAAGAAAAACGGTCCAGCCAAATATAAATCAATGTACATAACAGTTAAAGACTTCATTAAGAAGCACTGAATGACTAGATAGGAAGATATTGTCTCTTAATGCCAATGGAAAAAAAATCAGTGCAGTGAATGCCACAAAAAACTGCTAAATCTCCTGGGCACTTTAAGTAAAGTTTTTTCTTTACAAAGACATCATCAGATAAGCAACAACTTTGTAAGATTTCTTTCATGACTTAAGTAACACAAAATAAGAATTCAACAAATATAATGGATTAAATACTACATAAACTTAAACTTCATGTAAAAAAAAATTACCTTATTTCTGAATTTTACACCATAGAATTTGTCAGCTGACTCAAGCAGTTCAGGCCTAAAAGTAGTTGTAATAAATTGAGCATGTACAGCAAGTTCCATAATCATATCTGTAAAAAAAAAAAAAGTAATTTAATAAGACCCTTTTCTTAGTAGATCTTAAAATTTAAAATGCAACTATCTTTACTCTTACTTAATATTCAAAACAGCCTGTGACTCTATTTTTATGCATATACCTACAAAAATTACCACCTTAATTTCTTAAATTAGAAATAAATCTTTAACCCCAATATCTTAGTTCCAGGATATAAAGAAGCAGTAACTTCTAACACAGCATTAGAAATAATGTGAGAGCAAAACGCCTTTCCCCTGCTACCACTCCCAAAGATATATTTTTTTTTAATTGACCTTACTGGTGTTTTTATTTTAATTTATTGATTTTTTTTTTTTTTAGAGTGAGTAAGACAGAAAGAAATATCACTTCGTTGTTCCACTCATTCATGCACTCACTAGTTATCTCTTGTATGTGCTCTGACCAGGAATCAAGCCCATAATCCTGGCACATGAGCTTCTAACCAACTGAGCTAGCCTGCCAGGGCTTTCCCAAAGATCTTCTGAACTTACTAAAGATCAAATACAGATTCTTTAACCACATAATCAACAATGTGGTTGAAACTACATTGAAATACTCAAACATTGAAATACAAGTTTTAAAATGAGCAACTTCTACATTAAAAAGTTTAACTCAAGTAGAATTTTCTTTTTTTATTGATTTTTGGAGCGAAGAAGGGAGAGAGGGAGAGAGAAAGAGAGAGATTGACTGGTTGCCTCCTACATGCGCCCTCAGACTGGGCGTTGAACTGCAACGTAGGTATGTGCCCTGACTGGGAACCAAACCCAAAACCTTTTGGTGTTCAGGACAATCCTCCAACAAATTGAGCCACACTAGCCAGGGCAGTAGGATTTTCAATTGATTCAAAAATTACATCTTTCTCACAGAACTTTGCAAAGAAGTCTAATGTTAAATTTTAAAAACCTATTAAAAGATAAATTTTATATACTAGTACATATCCTATCTAGTAACCCCAAATCTCTCAGGCAACAAGAAATCACTATAAAAAAGTTAAGCTATCATTTTAGAGCATGTTCTCATTGCTAAGTGTAAAACCAAAACTGTACCTGACACAGCCTTTCTGTGCTGAGCATCCAGAGCCTGGTCAATCTCATCAAACAAGTAAAAAGGAGCTGGGTCACATTTCTGAATGGCAAAAATGAGAGCAAGAGCTACCAAGGATTTCTGTCCACCTGAAAGCTGTTGCATTTCCCTCATTTCACCTTGTTTTCCTGTAAATGACACCTAAGAAAACATTTGAGTCAATATCCTAAAGGGGTCCAATACAATCACCTCTTCAAATTAAATTGCATACAATGCATCTACTTAGATTTGCGAAATATTTACAAATTACACTATGATAATTACTGAGGAAAACTGGATGTAAAAGCATTTACCCTGATTCCAACTCCAGTGAACTGGTCAACTGATGGGACACTACTTTGTGACCCAGAACCCCTCTCACTTTCACCACTCCCTTCTCCTTCATCCTGAGACTGGCTGCCCTCAACATCTCCTTTCTTCATCACCAAAGTAGCTTTGCCACCAGGTACCAGCTTCTGAAATACTTCACTGAAGTTCTTGGATACCTTAAAATAAATAAATAGATAGATATATAAGGTTGCGTGTCAATTCAAATATAAATTTTGCTTATATGGAACTATACATATTACTGCTTAAAACAAAGACAAGTATGTAAAAGCAATCAGAAGTATTTTTTTAATATGCATTTTTTTAATTGACTTTTTTTAGAGGGAGGGAGAGAAGGGGAGAGGAAGAGAGAGAGAGAGAGAGAGAGAGAGAGACAGAGAGACAGACAGACATCTATTTGTTGTTCCACTTATTTATGCATTCATTGGTTGATTCTTGTACATCCCCTGACTGGGGATGAACCCAAAACCTTGGTGAGTGGGAACAATGCTCTATGCTACCCAGTCAGGGCCAGAAGTATTTTTTTTTAAGAACAATAACAGATGTGATCCTTTTAGGAACTGTGTAGCCTTGGCCAGTGGTGTGGCTCATTTGGCCAGTTGTCATCCTGTGCACCAAAAGATTGACAGTTTAATTCTCGGTCAGGGTATGTGCCCTGATTGTGGGCTCAATCCCAGGTGAGAGGTGTGCAGGAGGCAGCTGAGAGATGTTTCATTTTCATATTGATGTTTCTCTCTCTCTCCCCTCCTTTCTCTCTAAAAAATACAATGGAAATATTTTTTTTAAAAAACTGTAATCTTTAAAAAAAAAGAAAACAGCTGTGTAAAACATTCTAGTTAATATGTTAGCAACTTATATGCAGAATTTATTCACATGTATTAGATCCAACTATCAGTGGGGAAAAAATTCTTACAAACTGAAAAATAAACTGAATGATAGCTGGAGCTTTTGTCATGTATATTTATTTACTACTAAAAGAAACACCACCCTAGCCGGCTTGTCTCAGTGGATAGAGCAGTCAGCCCTTGGACTGAAGGGTCTCGGGTTCTATTCCAGTCAAGGGCACAATACCTCGGTTGCAGGCTCAATTCCCGGCCCCAGTCAGGGTGCATGCGGGAGGCAATCAATGTGTCTCTCTCACATACATGTTTCTCTCTGTCTCTCTCCCTCCTGTCCCCTCTCTCTGGGGGAAAAAAAAAAGAAAAAGGAAACATACCTGTTTGAAAGTTAACTGAATAGCTTCATATTTTCGAAGTTCAAGTACATTCATCAATTCCATGATTGATTTGTACCCCCTATCCAATTCTTCTTGTCGCTTTATTAACTTCTCCTTTTGCTCAGAGAAATTTACAAACTGGTCTAAAGCTTTTTTGTTAACATGACTGTACTTCTTCAATTCT